TATTTGACAAGAAAGCTTTTGATAATCTTCTTAACATGATCTGCAGTAGAGTAACCTCTATTCAGAACTTTGAGTCCTACAACAAGAGTCTGAAATCTTGAAAACATCGTTTCCACGGATTCATCATCTTCCATCTTGAAAGCCTCATATTTCTGGATTAAGGAAAAAGCCTTTGTCTCCTTTACTTGAGAATTTCCTTCGTGTGTCATCTGAAGAGAATAAAAAATTCCTTTTGCAGTTTCTCTATCAGTGATCTTTTCATATTCATTATAGGAAATAACACTAGGCATAATGGTTATCTCTTTGTAATGATTCTTGTAAGCTTTCATCTAAGCATTTATCATTGCACTTCTTGCAATCTTGTGACCCTTATCATCTACTGGATGAGTGTAGCCATTAACTACCAAACCCCATAAATCCAAGTCATATGCCAGAAAGTAACTTCTGATTCTATCCTTCCAATAGTCAAACTTCTCCCCATCAAACATAAGAGGTTTTAAACTATAGTTATCTCTATCATCATCCCTATTATCAACAATGGAAGTAGGTGTAGCCATTGTTTTTTCATGCACACTAGATTGATACTGAATATTTTTAAGTGTTGATAAAAATGCAAACTTTTTATCTCCTCAAAACCGGAGCTCTGATGCCAATTGAAGGTGTGAAAAACACAAGAAAGAGAAGTTTGAATTGGGTTTTAAATCAAAAACTTTTCTTTAAAAATAATCTCATTTAAATAAAATATGTTTTCTCCACTCTTGATAATAACAATAATTAAAAATAGGAAGTAAAGAACAAGGTATGTTTATATTAGTTCACTTGAAAATTGTCAAGCTAGTCTAGTCCACCCGTCAAGGTGATTTCACCTCTCTCCAACGAGGACTTAATCCAATAATCAAACTGATTATTAAACTTGCACACACCAATTGTATGTGACTAACTATACAATCTTTAAGACGCACAAGTCTTAAACTTCTCAAGAATACTGACCTAACTAGTCTCTCAAGGAACAATATTTAAGACACACAAGTCTTAACCTTCTCAAGAATACTGACCTAACTGGTCTCTCAAGGAACAATCTTTAAGACACACAAGTCTTAAACTTCTCAAGAATTCTGATCTAGCTAGTCTCTCAAGGAACAATCGAACAAATGTTTGAATAATTCGTTTACAATGAAAATTCTTCTACACAAGCTGATTAGTAAACAAATTTTAAGAACAATAGACTAAAAAGTATGAAAGATATGAACAGCGCTTGTGTGTGGATAATTCGTGAATTAGCAGATTTCTCTCTTAGTTTTCAAGCTTTTATATAGCCAATAAAATAATATATCTGTTAAGGGGTACTCTTGGGATTTTCAGAAATATTGGCGGCTTGAGCAGTAACGTGAGAGACAAGATCGTGCAACGCGTCCGTCCTTTTATGGTAGTGGAAAGAGACATTTTTTATTGTACCATGTACTACTGTGCCACATTAATGTTATCTTCTTTCTTTCTGCACTTCAGAGGCTTCTGCAAGCATGAGTTTAAAAGCGAGAACATAACACAAGGTTATCAAAACTTCAAGTCTTCAGAGTCTTTAGAACTGCATCTTTAGAGTCTTCAACACTTGGTCGTGAGAACCTTTTCTAGAACCTTGGGTCTTTAGAACTCAAGTCTTCAGAGTCTTTAGAACTTCTGTCTTCAGAGTCTTCAGCACTTGGTCTTTAGAAACACGAGTCTTTAGCATCTGGACTTAAGTAAAAATTTTGTCTTCAGATCTTCTAACTAGTTTCTTTAGACTTCATATCAGATCCTACACTTCTGAGTCTTCTAGAGTGTCTTGCTACTATTCATCAGAACTTGTGTAGCGTAAAAGTGAAACTTATTCTCTTCTAATGTCTTGGCCACGTCACTCATCAGAAGCAAAACCTGTTTGTTAGATACTCAAAAATAACAAACATTAGAGTACCAAAATTGTTCATACAAACATACTCATTTGCTATCATCAAAACTCATAGATAATATTGCAGAATCAAATCTTGTTCTAACAAAATCGTTCACTCTGATGAACTTTTCAATCTCATACTTTGTAGAAGGCCACTTATTCATGCTCACCGCACCAATTTGTTGTGAAAACAATACCTTTCAGACAAAATATAAACTATTTCTTTATGATCAAGAAACCATTAGGGTAGAAAAGATGGAAAAACAAGAAGAACAATAAAGATTGATTATAACTGTTATTCTTTACTTTCTCTTCAAACAAGATTACAAGTACACAAGAATAACAAATAACCCTCTCACCCTAAATTAGGATTTGCATTATGCAATGATGAGAGACTAGTGTGCTATTTATAATAAACCTAACATACTAAACTAATATATTTTTTCACAAATACTCATTACAAGCTAACTTAGGGTACAAGCTAACTTAAACAATAAGACATAACAAACAGGCTCAATTCGATGCTAACAATCCTAACATTCTACGACCACTGCATGTTTGACCCTTCTTCGACTACAACATACAATACTCTGACACCAGCATGTGAGCAACCTTCGACTGCATGCTACAATTCTGTCGAACTGTCGAAACTAAGAAGCTACCTTCGACCAACTAGAGTTCGATTCCAATATCTCACACATAAAAAGTAAATTGACATTTGGAGTTCTTAACTTTTGAGTTTTTATGAAAATATTTAAAGAAATACGGACGAAATTGTTTGATGTGATTTCTAATTATAGTAGAACATATGGTTTTAAATTACACCGCAATTGTAGTCTGATACAGTTGTTGAAACTATTACATCAATAATATTACAGCTATAAATACAATTAGAAAATATAGTTTAAAATTATGGTTATCAGTATCTCACCAAACGAGTAAGGATCCACTCTATTTTTCAAAAGAAATGAAAACACTTATTACTATTTTTAGAACTACATGCATTTATATCTTTTATTTTCTGAAAAACAACAAACATCACTATTTTTTTAAGAAATAGAAAGGATCTATTAAAAAATGTGGTTACGAAACAAATTTATAGAATAAAGATTACTCCATTTAAATGACATGTTGATATTATATACAGTATTGTGTAATGTATAACTCTTTATATTTTGATATGATTTATTATTTTTTTAATTATTTCTCTAACCTTCTTCTAACAAGATTAATTTAATAATGTTTCGAAGCGGTAGCTTGACTACTAAAAAGTTGATATTACAAGGTTTGATACCAATATCTTGATTGAAATCCTTACTCTCTTGTAAGTTTATTTTTGTTTATCGATAAAAAAATAATTCAAAGATTTTATTAAGATTCTGTTTGGTAAAATTAATTGATAATTGGTAATTTATAATTAATATTTAGTAGTTTATAATTAATATTTAATAATTTATAATTGATGATTGATAACTGATAAATTAATATAAATATTGATAAATTAACAATTTCATTAATTAATAAATATAAAATGACATAAATATCATTTTAATTAATAAGAATAATAATATATTTTTGTTAAAACAATAAAGATATAAATGAAAGAAAAAATTCCAAGGATATTTAATTTTAAAACCAATGAAAGGTCATTCTCCTTTGACCATGACACCAAACAATGACATGTATAACAACTCTCCAATTGTGGGGCCAAACAAAACACACCAGGAGAAATATGCCAGGTTAGTATTTCACAAAACCTGTTTGGATACCAAGATTCTTATCTTCATCCGAGGTTGACACACGTCAATACCATCTTTGCTTTTCCACCCACCCTACCAACCTATTCCAATCTCACTATTCATATTTTAGGACCTCCTATAATTTCTCTCATTAACAAGCATCTAAGCCAGTGATCACATAAGTAACCATAGGTTTAAGGTCTATGTCCTCTCTACAATCTTTCTTCTTCATGCACTCATCTGCAACATTCGTCAGATGCAGATGAGTTTATGATTAGATTCAGAGTTTCTAAAAAATTTATATAGAACGATATTTATTATATTACAAGTCGATTTATGTAAAGATCTATGAATCATGCAATGTCATAAATTGTTATAAGATTTTTTAATTGGTATAGTTTTGAAGGATAGTGTTCTCATTTGTGTGATAACTGTTCATATTATCTCTAGTGTGGTGAAACATGACTAGCAATGGATGCATATATGCTTTTTCTTTTCACTTGTAAAATAAAAAAATTTGGAAATAATTTTTTGTTGTTATTGTGACAAACTGTTTTGGAAACAGAAAACTCCAAAACATGAACTAATAATCAAAAGGTTGGCCAAAATTTGTCCGGATATGTTTCTTCACTTTTCTCAAAAGTTAATCACATGCATCCACAGTTGAGACTGTTTCAAAAATGTAACATCTTATACGTTACACTATCAACTGCAGAGACTAATCTCTCGTGTCGAAGAAAATCACTGTGGACAATTTGATATCGGACATTTATATAGATCAAACGGTTGAGATCGATCGATCAGAGTTACTGCCACCCATCTGTTCCCTCAACCTCCACTCCTCAAAAGATGTCATTTCTACTGTCGTTGAAAAACATTGCTCCAACAATATAACTTTACTTGGTTTTTAATAACTTTTCATACAGAACCACAAAGATTCACTTTACTTCAAATTTTCAAATAGTTTGCATGGTAGTGCTTTCTACTATCATTATCATATCTTAAAAACAAGAAAAGAGAACCACATAAGTTTAAAGTGATTTTCATAAATAGTTACTATGTTTCTAATTTAGCATTTGATCCACACATGCTATAAGATAACTCATCTTTTTCAGATTGATAATAAAATTAGAACTCAAAACCATTCTCATTAAAGAATCTGATAAATCCTAAAAAATTACACAAATCTATAAACTTAAAAAATAAAAAAGAAGCTCGCGACATCGTTACACTAAAGTTTTAAAATGTGATCGTGGTTACTCTGCAAGCTTTTATATTGCGAGAAAAAAAAATGTGGTTGTGATGGAGTTGCAGAAACTTGGAGTTTGTTTATACTAAGGTTGCATTGCATCAGCATATACCTCAGCTAGCATGCTATCTTCGTCACTTCCGGAAATGGCGAACAATTCTGCGTCTTTTTCTTCCTCGCTTATAAAGTCTCGCTTTTCAAGCTTTGCATGAGCTGCAATATATATCATTTTCTGAGCTCGCTCCAATGCGACTCTAGAGTTTTTGTTTGCAGAAGAAACTTTCCTCATGAAAGACCAGTTACTCTTGAATCCGCATGAAGTTGCATGGAGAAAAATGAGCCTCACTGCGATCTTCCCTAGAGATTTAAACTCGCAGAGACATGTTTCCCAAACGAGTCGACTGCTAAGCGGATTCGCAACTTTCATCTTCCCGGTTACAGGGTCTCTTTGTTTCATCTGAACCGCCTGTGCGTAAAGAGGGTCGAGTCCTTCTGACCTCCATTTCATTAGCTCCATTAATACCACATGAGCTTCTTCTCGTGACACTAGTCTTGTGAGTAACTTATCAACGTCTTTCTCTTGTTCGCGCGTCAAAAACTTGAACGGTGGAAGATACTTTCCACTTGTGTCTTTGATCAAGTAAAGTGGATCAAGTATAAACGCTGCTGACCATGCAGGGTGGTAGTTTTTTCGAAACCGTTTTTCAAGTATTTTCTCCACTAGTCCTTCGACGACATTGTACTTTCGACACCACTCCTTAACTTTGGTTCTTAGCTCCTCCCAAAGAGGCAAACACCGACCAATCAACGGCCTCTCCGTCTCTATATCATGAACCATTCCTTTAATAATCTTCACGAGGGAATAAACCGCTTCGAGCTCGTTCCAAAACACCTCACTCTGAACCAAACCAGCCACTTCTCTTGCTTGCGGATCCTCCATAAACATCGCCTTAAACCCGTCCTCCATCACAACCATTTGGATCACTCTAGCACAGCTCAAAATATCCTCGAGCATTGGAAACACGGATGAAAAATTCTTCGACGGATCACATTTTAGTGAAGGAACACGAATCAACCCGCCGTACTCCATCTCCTGCATTCTATAATTAACAAAAACATTCCTTACCTGAGACTCGCCATCTATAAAATCTGCAACTTTGAGACAATTCTTCGTAACAACACCGAAAAGTTCGAGCTCGTTGTTGAAATCCTTGATTAAACTAACAAACCCTTGAAGCTGACAAGAAGTATTCACCATCCAATGGTTTTGAATCTCCAAATTCTTCAATGCCTTACCCTTAAACTTATCAGCAACAATCCCTACACATCTCTGAACAACACTACCGCTAACACCGGTCACCGTCTCCCACAAAACCTCTTCAGCATACTTCGAATTCACAACTCCACCACCGCCCGTAAACACCGCCTTTTGAAAAACGCTATTCCCATTCGGTAAATTCACCATAAACTTAACCAAACTCTCACTACCACAACACAAACCATACAAATTCCTATTACTACTACTACTATTATTACTTTTCCAACCATCACTAGCTACTTGAAAAAACATTGCATCCCTAATTTTTGCCTCGGACTCACTCTTAACCTCGCTAAACCTGGCGTCGAGCCTCGGACCAGAAACCTCGCGCCTCAAACAACTTCCTACAGGCAAACCAACCTGAGAAAGAAAAGCTTGAAACTTCCTATGCTCAAGTGTTGACAGTGAAACAGAACCACAACATTCATAAAACCAATCAGCAAGTAAATCCAAAGCAGAATTAACCTGTTCTTTACTCAATGAAGCACCAGGTGAAGTCTTAGGACTCTTCAACTTCTTCACACTGTCTTCAAACATAGCCAAAGCACATAAATCTTCTTTTCCACCAGATAACATCAAATGATTCTGAGTCAGACTCTGATTCTGATTCTGATGGTTCACCATACTACCATGCACCTGAGGGTACCCGATTTCAACCAATGCCAAGTTATGATTTTGATAAGTTAACGATGTTGGTGAGGTTGAAACAGAAACACCCATTTGATGTGGTGAACCCCTTTTCCGGTTTGAACCGGAAACCGACGAAATAGGAACCGGAGAAGGAACTGAACCGGGTTGTTGTTGTTGTTGTTGTTGTTGTTGTTGATGTTGTTGTTTCAAGCCGGAGTTGTTGAAATTGGAACAAGTTCCACGCTTTAAATGCTCGGAAGCTGTTCTCGAAGGGTTTGAAGCAGAGAAAACAGCTTCACACAAAGAACACTTGAGTTTAACCGATTTAGGAAGACCCGAATCAGGATTTCGAACCAGAATCGGCTCGAGATGAGTCCAATACCATGCACCTTTACCTTTGATAGCTTTGGTTCGGACAGTGACGAGACCCTCGTAGCGTTTGTTAACGGCTTTGGCGGCGATGTCATCGGAGGAAGGAAGTGGTTCTGTGGAAGTGGAGTTTGTTGAAGTCATTGTTTTGGCAAAAAGGGTGTTTGAATTTGATGGAAAAATTGAGTCTTGTGATTCTTTTAATTGGAGGGTCAAAATTGGGTGGGGTTTTGAGGAAAGTGGTGGTGTTTGGAGGGTGGTTTTGGTTTCGACATTGTTGTTGTGGTGATGGGTTTGGGAATCGTTTTGGGACATTTAGCCATAAAGGGTTGGGAACAATGGAAGAAAGCTGAGGAATGAGGGTAAGGTGTTTGATGAATTGTGGAGGTGAAGAAGAAGGAGAGAGTGAGAGAGTGAGTGAGGTTTGTTGGGTGTTTGTTGTTGCTACAAAAAAGAGTAGACAGGTGAGTGCATATAGAAGGAGGTAGTGAAACAGGAAACTAGGAACTAAGAGAGAGAGAGAGATGAGTCAACCAAATTTGTATTTCTCAACCAAAAAGGGAACTCTTTTTTTGTTTAACTTATTTTAGTTTTTTTTATTATTATTCAAAAATGAATAGATAGAGAGAGAATGGAATAAAATTTAATTGATGGAGTAAGAGAGAGAAAATGGGGTAAAAAAATAGCACGTTATTTATACATCTATTCTTACACTAAATACTTTATACTATATATTATTTACTGTATTTTAATATTTTTTAAATAAGTAAAATATATTTATGAATAGTGTTGTGAATAACATGTGAACAATGATGTAAACAGTATATGAATAGTACCAATAATTTTTTTTAGTAATAAATAAAATTGATTAATAAAATATAAAAAAGTTGATTAATAAAACGTTAAAGTCGATTAATAAATATTTAGATATTAAAAATAATTTTTAATAACAAAATAAAGTTAATTAATAAAATGTAAAAAATTGGTTAATAAAATGATGAAGTTGATTAATAAACGTTCAGATATTAAAAATCATTTTAACAATAAAAGAAAATTGGTTATTACAATGTGAAATATTGGTTAATGAAGTTACGAAATTGACTAATAAACGTCTAGATTTTTAATAGTTATGAAGTTGATTGATAAAATTTAAAATATTAATTAATAAAGTCATGAAGTTAGTTAATTACATAATTTTGTATCCATACTTTCTTAATTTAAAAAAATAAATAAAAATATTTTAAAATAAAAAATTTATTTTTTTAAAAAATAATTTATTATTATAATATTTCAGTGTTCACTGTATTAGTGAACATTGAAATATGGGATAGGTGTAGATGTTAATGTAAGAATAGTATTTTTTTATACAAAAATAAGATTATCTATAATCACTAAAATCTAGGGCTGACAAAACGAGTCGGGACGGCCCATTTGACCCATTATTTTTAGTAGGTTGATTTGATGATTTTCGTCTAGGTACTTTAAGTTAGTCTGCTTCGTCTCTCCCGCTTAAGAAAGCGGACCGAGACTGATCGGAGCGGATTTTGCATGCGGACTTTTTGTTAAAAATTTTATTTTTTATTTAAAATAAACAACTTTACCTATAAAAACAACAATCTTCGCTTAGGATTATATTGATTGAAGTGTATTTTAAAGTATTATACATGTAAATTGAATTATAAGTTTAACGTTCTTTCTTTAACTTTCTAATACATGTGTTAATTGGAAAAGTTTGAAATAAAAGAACAATTGTGTGACATACAAAATTATTAAGTTGTCAATACATTAACTCACATGTTTTCTTTAGAAATAGATGTTGATTTTAAGAAAATGAAAGATTTAATTAGTGTATATGTGTGACAATTTAGAATTTAACTATTAAGAAATTAGTCAATATAAGAGACTATATGATGTGAACAACGAGAAAGTCAGAAGTCAATATTTTATGCACTACTATTTTATGCACTGTGATATTTTATGCTGTGTAATTATTATCATTATTTGTCTTGGATAAAATCTTAATTGGGTTCTTTAATAGTTAGTTTTTAAATAGAATTAAGATGATATTTATCGTGTATTTAGTTATTTTGATACTTTTTTATTCGTTGTTTTTTTTATAATTGGTCTTTATTTATTTTATTTTTTAAACTATTTGAGTTTAAGACATGCTGAAGTTCTATTATGTGTTATTAAAAAAATCTTGTGTCGGCCTCTTTGATAATGATTAAAAATTTTGAAAATTATGCAGTAAATTAAATTGTAAAAAAAATAATAATAAATTGACGGATCGATCCATCAACCCACTAATTCATTAAAAAACAAAACGGATTTGACTTTTGATCTCGAACACTTAAGTTGGTTCGTCCTGCCCAACTTTAAACGAGCTTAAAAGAAACACACTTAAATGAAATAGGTGTCGCTTTGCCATCTCTACTAAAATATATCATCATGTTATCACTAAGTTGGTGATTCTTTCATTAAAATTAAATGCTATAGATTTAAAATAAATTATTTTAATTTTCTAAATTTTTTCTAAAAAATGCAGTCTTAAAAAGTTTGCATGTTTAATGATAATCTTAAAAATTGTAAAAGAAAATTAGATTTAAAAGTTTTATATGGCATTCAAATTCAAATTCAAACCGATTTAAATAAAAATTATAAATTAATTTTAAAAATTGAAAATCACAAAAAATAAAATATTAGTATATATGTTTGGATGTCGTTTTATAGAAACTATTTGATTCGGATTAAATTTTAAATTAATTTTTCAAAACTAATTCAAATTAAATCGAACTGCATGTATATATTTTTTATACTTATTTATTTTTTATTAATATTATATCTTATGTTAATTAATTATTCTATGATATTTATTTTTAATAGTATTTATTAACTTAGTTTAATCTATTTGTTTTTATTATTTCATTTGTTTTTTACTATAATCGATCATTTTCACTATGTAATATTAATTTTTAGTATACAATATGTTATATTAATATCTATTGGAACATACACAAACTATACAATATGTTATATATAATATCTATTGGAACATACACAAACTATTATTTTATTTAACCAAACATTACAATATATGAGGGTATTTATACAAGGTAATATAAAAAAATTGGGAAACAAAACAACTTTAATGATAAGCTAAAAAGCCCAAAACTCGGGCTCCTAACCGGCTACGCAAAATGTCGTAATCGGTTACGCCTACGATAAGCACAAAATACAAAATTGAATTGGCCTTCTGTAATTGGTTACACTAAATCCCGTATCTGATTACCAACCTGGAAAATCTAAATTCCAGTTTCCATAAGTGCTTATTTTTTAGGCCGAAACCTCCAAAATGCTCCCAAAAGCTTATACCATGTATTTGAATTATTATGTACTTCCAATACACCATATTAATTCAAATGCTTCAAATTATCCATACCCAAGTTCATCTTCAACTTCTTGAACACATCATTTGTGACTCCCTTTGTCAATAAATCTGCAAGTTGTTCTTCGCTTCGCAGTATCTCAATCTCAGCTTGCCTTCACTCACCAAATCCTTCAAGTAATAAAACATCGTTTAAATATGCTTTCTCCTTCCATGTGCAATGGGATTCTTAGCCAAGTTAATGGATGAAATATTATTAATTAAGAGTGTGACAACTTCTCCTACAGTGATGCCTAACTCCTCCAACATATTCATAAGCCACACAGCTTGACATGCACATAACGATGCAAAGATATACTCGGTCTTACTAAGAAGAGAGTGCAACCAATGGTTCCTTTTTAGAACACCAAGATATGAAGGTGCAAGAAATACAAGAAATGGGGGTTTGAATTGGGTTTCTCAAAAATAAAATTTCTGCAAACTCAAACACCAACTCTTAACAAAAGAATAAAAATAAATGAACACAATTATTTTTATCCTAGTTCACTATTAACGAAGTTTATCCAGTCCATTCGTCAAGGTGATTTTTCCTTCTCAATAAGGACTTAATCCACTATAACCAAACAGATTACAGAACCACTACAAGACTACCCTTCACTATTGCAAACCACAAAGACCAATTGCCTTTGTCTTATTGAGTATATAGACTAACACCTTAATTACTCAAAGAACCAACCATAAAGACCAATTGTCTTTGTCTTCTTGAGTCTATAGACCTTCACTCAGTCACTCAAGGAATAATCAACTTAAAGTTGAATACATATTTTTGTGTTTATAAGATTTCTTCTTACAAGCAGATTACACGATTTTGAAATATGAATAATAACACAACATTGTTAAGCAAGTTAACAAACAAAAGTTCTTTGCTAGTAAGTTAATGAGCAACAACTCCTTGCTTTACAAAAAATACAGTTATTTTGGTAGTGTTTTAACAACTTGAATAAGTGTGATTTTCTTCAAAGTTCTTCAATGTTTCCAATTCTGCCAAGTCTTACTTTTATAGACGAAAAGAAATTTATTGGAGGGTAGAATAGGAATACCAAAATTCCATATTTCTTCTTGCAACGGTCAATGAGAGAGTGGTAGACAACTTAGTACATAAGTATTGTCCTTGTGGCACAAAACCAGCGTAGTATAGGGGAGGTAGTGTTGTACCTTGTACTACTACTCACGTGAAACCTTTTTATCTTCTCTTCTATTCTTTAGAGGCTTCTGGATGTATAATGGTTGAAGCATGTGTGGAAGGATCAAAACTAAGTCTCCAGAACCATCTTATCAGAGTCTTCAGAACTTGTTCATCCTAAACCTTGTCTTTAGAGTCTTCATAACCTTTTCTTTAGAGTCTTCAAAACTTCGTTCAATAGAACCTTGTCTTTAGAGTCTTCAGAAGTTGGTTTAGAGAACCGTTGGTCTTCAGAGTCTTTAGAACTTGTTTAATAGAACCTTGTCATTATAATCTTCAGAACTTGGGAAAGATAACTTGGAATCTTCAAAGCTTTATAACATATCAGAAGCTCTATAACAAAATCACATGTAGAAGCAATAAAACTAATATTCTTTCAGAACCATTGCTTTAAGACGCGCCATAAAACACAATCTAGTATTCTTCAGTGTGTTGAGTCCAGAATCTGATGACGTCACACATTATTTCTTTAGAGACAGAACCTGTTAGAAAAAGCTACACACTAAACAAACCATTAAGGTACTAAATTGTTATCTAATAACCCATGTAATGTTATCATAAAAACTCAAGGCCAGATGCAGAACCAAATCTTATTCTTACAATCTCCCCCTTTTTGATGATGACAAAACCATGTATTTTGATAAATAATTTATATCGGTTTAATCATATAAAACACTTTCAGAGTTA